TAACACATTATCTAAAATCAGCTCAGGCTAATAATTTTATAAGAATTTTTGAAACCATTGTTATTATTTCTGAGAAATTTTTTTCCATGATCGAAGTTTGTTAAAATCAAGTGGTAATCTTCCAATATATATTCCTTAAAAAGAACAATAGTAATGGCAAATACATCATATTTGGGTTAGAAAACTTTTCTATACTGTATGCATATATTGTATATATTTTGTATAAAATTTCATGACCAAATTTTACTGATAAATACCTTCTAGATCGCCTGTAATGTTTTAGCACCCACAATATTACTACTTCTAATCTACTTTCAAACAAAATTACTATTGGTATTTATTTATTGTTTTATTATCCTTTGGTTATTAGTATAATTTATTCTATTTTTTATGAAAAATTAACAAACTTATTTTATTCTAGAATAAAACATTGTAGTTCTCTGGATTTAAATTAGCCAAGCAGAGAAATGAGCGATAAATTTTTAAATGATATGGAGTTAGAGCCTGAAGATGATATAATGTTCGAGCCTGATGATAATATGGTGTTTGAGCATGATTATAATACAATGTTAGAGCCTGAATATGATACGATGTTAGAGCCTGAAGCTGATAATCTAAATGGGTCAGAATCTGATAGTATAAATATATACGAAAATTTATTTTAGTCTTTCACATCACAAATCAGCAGCAAATTTTTAGTCAAACGAAAAAAGATTGAAAGACCGGGTGGTAGTCCTGTAAAAGAGTTTTATAAAACAAAATTGATTAATAATCTTGAGTATTGGATCTGTCGTTATAAAACTTGCACTCCAAAAATAAAATACCTAAGAGATGGTTCTACTTCGAATTTATGGCATCATTTAAGAAATATACACCATATTTCACAAACCATTGTAGAAGGTGGTCGGGTAAAAGTTGTAGTAAAAGATAGTGTTTGTGACTTTTCTATAATGCCAGAATTCTTACAACCAACGATAGTTCAAACATTCAATAAAATAAAAAAATATGCGCTTAATATCCCCAAACAAAAAAATCTTGATAATAATGTAGTTGCCTTCATCATTGAAGAACTTCAGCTATTTTCGATTATACAATCACAATCATTTAAAAGAATAATTAAAGGACTAGATGTCCAAGCTAATATACTTGGTAATGATTGTTTAAAGGAGATTCTTATTAATTCCGAGGATAAGGTTTTGCAAAACCTTCATAAATATGCACAAGATAGTTCTGAAGTTAGCTATATTTCATTTACTACTAACATGTGAACATCAAATAATAGTGATCCATATATTGGACTTACTCTTCACTGAATTAACAATAGTTTCAAATAAAATAAATTATTGGTAATATTTCGTATCTTCCATATCCACATACTTCTGAGCGTCTTTTAAATAAAATCACTGAAATTTTAGATAGTTTTCAGCTTAAACATATAACTACTAGCAGTATGATCGATAATGCAGCAAACATTAAATCTTGTTTAAAAAAATTAGAGCGAAAATATGGAATTTTTAAAGTTTATTGTTTTGGCCATACTTTGCAACTTGCAATTAATGATGCATTAAAAGGTTGCTCTGAAATTACTAATCTGATAAAAAAATGTAAAGGCATTGTATCCCACTTTAGCAGAAACCCAAAGCAAAAACAATTTCTTTTGGAAGCTCAAATAGAGATGGAAGACTGAAATAAACTTCTTTTTGTAGTTCGTGACATTTCTACGAGATGGAATTCGACATTTTATCTTTTAAAATGATTAACAATTCTTAAGCTAGTGATATATAAATATAAGTCGCTTTTAGTTGAAATAGATAATAATATTTTATTAAGAAGTTATAAGAAAAAAGAATTATCGTCGGGTCAATGGGAAAAAATAACTGAGTTAGTAAAGTTATTGTATCCTTATGAAGTTATTTCAAAAAAATTATCAGGTTCACAGTATCCAACACTTTCTCAAGTGTGTTTGCGATAAATTTCATTAAAACAAGACTTAATTGTGCAATAACAAATGATAGTAATATTTGAAATTTTAAAAATCTTCTTATTAAGTCTATTTAGGAATGATTTTCAGAACCAACAAAACCAATTCAACTTGCAGCATTTTTAGATCTGCAAACAAAAGATATGCAAATATTTTCAGAAGATGAAAGACATAGTACTATTTCAGAAGCACGTATAGAGTATTTTGAATTAGCTATTAATTATTATGAATCAAATAATTTATCAGATATAGCATCTAGTAACATAAATAGTGAAGATATTTTTTCTAGTCCCATAGCTCAAGAACATTCAAGTCAAAATGACAATAACATTGCTAACCGTGAATTTAACTCCTATTTATTATTACCAAGAGTTTAGAGTGAAACAGACATACTTTAGTGGTGGGCTTCAAGAAAAGCCGACTATCCTGTACTTGCAAAACTCGTATGCAAGTACCTTTCTATTCCAGCTACATCAGTACCATCTGAATGCCTTTTTTCATCAGCAGGTCTTACCATCACTGAAAAAAGAATACATCTTAATTCTCAATTCATTGAATCAGTTTTGCTCCTTAAAGCGGCTCTCAAGTTTGGCCCATGTTACATGTTTTTGGCTAGGGTAATAAAAATTTTATACTGTATCTAAGTTGAAATTAATGAATTTAGTAATTTAATATATTTTTATTGAATTAGAAGGATGGATATGAATTTAAGTCAAGTACTGAGCGAATGTCAATTAAAATTGAACTATTATATATTTAAAATTCAGGAAAAAAAAAAATGAAATATATATTGTGAAAATTTAAACTAACAATGTGTTTGCATTAAAAATTGAAGTATAATGGAGTGGGCAAATATAAGGAATCACCTGAAGATTTTAATAAGCTGTTAGAATCATGTAATTCTTTATGAATGCTATAAATGAGTAAAGAGATAGAATAAAAATGAGTTGTATTTGTTGAATAAAAAAAATGCATAATGCATGATCTTAATAGTTTAATACATTATGATGTAATTATGTGTAATGTTATGGTTACAGAACTCGCCAAAAATGTAATTATTATATATGTACGAAGAAGACTGTTGATTTAGTTAGACAATAAAAGGTTAGTTATTAAAATGTAAAAACTTCAGATTTATTAAAAGCTCAAAAACAGGTTTCTGGTTCTTCAAATAATTCATTCGCAAAAAAACTTAAGATTTTATATAGTGGCGATGTTGTAAATCTTGCTTTCAATATCAAAATGTAATAATTTGATAAAAATTAAAGCGATCAAATAAATTTTTTTTTATATAATACAGTAATATCTAATAAGTTCGAATTTATATAGTATCATCTTTTTTTTAAAAAAAAAGTGTTTTAAAAGCATTTTTTTACTATCCCAAATCTTGACCTGTTTGACCTGGGTTAGAGCAATTTCTGACCCATGACCCGTTGGGTCGGGTGACCCGTACAGGTCACCCAACCCAGGCCAGAACACTAGTCACGGAGATAATCAAATATTATTAATTACTATCAGCTATAATCGAACTGTTGATCTTGTCTGTGAAGAGTTAGACACCTAGACCACTAAACTACAAGACCCTAATCTCATTATTATCATCATTATTAAAAACTTGTATTGCATTTAAATTGGCTAATTTACGTGCAGATTAGTCGATATAGATATTAAATTTTCTCATATTTTGATCAAAAATGGGAGTTGGCAATTTCTTTTTAAACTTTTAAAGAAATTATTATCATCAATTGGCCCTTTTTTGTAAACTAGATATTTGTACAGATTAAATTAACCAATTAAAAAGTATGAACATTTACATGTTCATTTATCAATATCAGTTATATATTCATTTTTGATAGGATGTGTAGATAATTTTTTCTACTCAGACTTTATTTGTTTAATCTATTATAGTGCTTCTCTACCAGATTGAATTTGTTAAAATTTTCTTCATTGATGAGAAACTACTTTGGTCATAAGCACATATACAACAAGATCTAAACATGATTAAAAAAATTTGTATAAAAAATTTTTTTATTCACTTTTCAGTGATCTTTAATAAACATTGTTGTTTTTAAAATAGAGATCTTTTCTTCATATACTAATTATAACCATAAAGGCCAATGCTTATCAATATACTACTCACTCTATAAATATGACTAAAGTGAAATTAAAGAGTACTTTTTGCAAAAGTCTATATATCTTTAATTGCATCTTCCCAAATTTTTACACATGTTAAAAATTGACTATCATTTGTTGAAATCAATAGATGTTGATGGAGATGCTTCTCTATTATTTGCCAAATAGTTTGATATAATTTCTTTGAACAGAATTTTCTGATTGAATATTTTTATTAAATAGAAAATAGAAGTCAAACTCAGATAAGTAATTATATTAACTATTTCTAGTTATTTTATTACTAGCCAACCTTGTTATAATTGCTTTTTGTATATACTATTTGCATAATTGTATTTTTATTTCTCTTTAAGTAAAACATGTAGTATTTATCTGAGAAAATTTTTATCAGTATAAAAAAATTCTAGACAAATTCCTGCATTATGTAATTTTATAAGTAATTATAAATAATAGCTGTTCGAATTTTTTCATCATGGACCTGTGAGTCGATAGCATAGCGGTTATGCTCCCAGGTTGCAAATCAGAAAGTTGCCAGTTCAGTTTCTCCTAGCAGCAAAATAATAAAAATCCAAATATGGAAGTGAAACACCATGGGGTACAGGAAACTATGGATAGACATATTTGGAGAATAGTTATTCCAAGAAGTTATGGCTATGAAGTAAGACATGCTAAAATCCTGATTTGGAATAACCAAAGTCACGAGATATAATGTAAGTTCTAAGCCAGAGAGAGTCTATATGAACTTGTGGTACCACCTAATTGGCAGATAAAAAGTCCCATTGATCGTTATAAAAGGTGATCTGACCACTCTGGCAGTTGGTGCAGCAGTCACATTTGGCTACTCAATAAAGTAGTGAGTTAAATCAGGCTAGGATACCCAGTATTAAATTCATAGATCTGGTAGAATTAATGAGTTATGAGAGTTGGGACCAGGTTTCGGCAAGACATGCCTAAAATAAAATAAAAATAAATTTCTTCATTATGCTAAGCATCGTGCTTTAAAAACATGTAAGCAAGAGAAAAGCCTGTCCTATTCATCATAGTATGGAGTACATAAAATTCAAGTCTGAAATTATTAGTAGTGTATGTAGCATCCATTTCACATTCATTAATTTTTATTTTATTTTGCTTAAAATATTCATAAAATTTAGTTGTAAATATAATAGTATGAGGTGAAGTCTCTTCTAAAATACTATTGTTATATTCTTTTTTAAGTTATTTAACTACAGAATTAAATAAATTTTTATGTTTTTATATCTATATTGTGGGAAGAAAAATTCAGAGTCAAAATTTAATGCGCATTACATACCAAATTTTAAACTTAGTGTATACAAAGTTTGCTACAGCAGAACAGAGTTAACTATATTGTACACATTATTTTAAAATTATTATTTAAAAATTACATGTGCTTTGTACACAATATTATATATTTTTTTGTGTACAAATATTTTTATGTGCGACTGCACAAGCACACATCAAATTTTTCTTCTGCTATGTTGCTCTAATTTGGACTACCAAAAATGTATTTGGTTTTGATGAATAGACAAATTTAAACCTTTAGCTATAAGTTGAATATAAATCTCTCAGTAATAAATTGATAATGTTCTTTATAAAATCTTTTGCTTCTTGAGGTGCTATAACCTTGATTAGTTTTTCATGCAAAAAATCATGTTGTTCTAATAATTTTGCTATACTGTTTGTTTTATTAATAATAATCTTTACAACTCTATTATAGTCAAATCTATTCATTACTGGTTTATCCTGTTTCTTTAATATATCTTGGTACTTTTTATACTTACTTGCTAATTCTTTTCTTTAAGAACAATATACCAATAAGATACTGTATATTTTTCTGAAATATATCTATATAAAGCTATCTGTAACTTCAACAGACTCAGCTAAACTATTGGCTATTTCTTTTGTCATATTATCAAATATTGATATATTTACCAAATATTTAAAATAAAATTTCAATAAATTTTCTTTGTCTTTAGTTTTATTGAATAAAGATCCAAAAGCTAGACTATATAATCAGATAACTCGGTTAGTTCAAGCTAATGATGCCTAACAAAAAGCAAAATAGTTTCGTCTAGACGAATAATATACTGGTTTGTTTGGCAGCTTCAATTAGATGAATGATGAATGTCAAAACCTATAATGAATGATGAAACCTGTAATGAATGATGAAACTCATGAGGAATAACAAAACTTATGATATAACTCTACAAATATATATTTATTTATGAGAAAAAAAATAAATGAAAATAAAACATACAATTTTTGTTTTAGAAATCATTAAAAACTAGTTAATGTATAAACATTTTCTGATAATAAAATTTTGTTTTATTACAATTTTTTGTTTTTATTATTAAAGTTGTTTATATTATATAAAAATTCAAAGATTCTGCAATTTTTATTGGTTCTGAGCCTAAATTTTATAGATTATTTGAGTAATGGACTAGGAAAACCCATCTATGAAGGAGGATTTTCATTTTGAGAAAATGATGATTATTTGTTTATGAAATCTAAATTGTACTCTAAATTTTTTGTTTATTTTTAGATATCAATTATTGAATAAACAATGTCATATGATTACAAAACACTGATTAACCAATCTAATTTAATTAAATTGTTGATCTTTGACTGTCAATCTATTTTTAGAATATGAATGTTAAAAAATTGGTTTACATTCAAGTTAAATTATCTTAATAAATTATTATATCAATGTAGAATAAAAAATGAAATACTAATAGATATAAGTCAGCACTTTAATTTGAATCAAAAATCTCAAAATTTATTAAAAAGAGTTAGAGATAGGTTTTCCTATTCTATTATTTATTTGATTTATATAAGGACACTCTGATATTTAATACCAATTATCTGATCATGTGACATTATGAACTGAGTTCATGAATATTCAAATCCTATATTTTTGGAATTAAGAAAATAGAATTATAGAACAGGGATAATGATTCTGAATTCATGGAATTTTACAAAAAAATCTTATAAAAATTATGATTTTTGGCTGAAACTTATATTTCTTGCTCAATATAATGCCAGTTGACATTTAATTTTGACTGGAATTTTCAACTATAATGCTGGCTGTTTTATGTAATTCTGGCCAGGTTACAGAATTTTTGCATAATTATCATTTTGTACAGATGGAATTGTTATGTTGTCGATGCAGTAAATTATTATTCTGCTACAATAATAATATTAAGTATTGTAGGACTAGTTATGCTATAGCAAGACTCTACTAACCTTAAGACCTGAACCAAATCTTTACAACCTCTTTCTGTCTACCAATTCAAGGTTAAAGAGTCTTGAAACAATTAATTGGTTAGTTTTAATTATCTCCAATTAGTCCACACTTTCTCAATATGCATGAAACCCATCTCTAGTTTCATCAATCGTCAATCATCTGTCTATAGTTTTGTCTATAGTTTCATCATTCATTTATAGTTTTGTCATTTGTCTATAGTTTTATCATTCATCTATAGTTTTGTCATTCGTCTATAGTTTCATTATTCGTCTATAGTTTTGTTATTTGTCTGTAGTTTCATCATTCATCTGAGTTTCATCAGACAAAACCAGAGATGAATACATTTTGTCTTTGTGAAAATAGTTTCGTCAGACATCACTAGTTCAAACACATCTAAAGAATCTAAATCTTCATAATCCTCTTCATTTTTTTCTATTTCGAGTGCTCTTTTTTTGGCTGTTTTATATTGTTGAACTGTTTATCATGACAATTTTTGCAGGTATTACATTTTACTATACAGTTATTCTTGTCATTATCTATGAATTATTTCAATGGTTTTATAATGTTGCATCTAGTACACTTATCAGTTATAATAGCGAGATTCGAAGTTTCCATTTTATTTTGTATACCGGTATGTATTAATGAAAATATTAAAAAAATAAGTTAAAAAGAGTTGCATATTAGCAATTTAAAAAGTTTCTTGTATTAATAATCATTTTGCTAATCAGAGCTTTAACAAGTCAATACTTGATTAGCAAAAATCCGTACAGATGCATCATTTTGTGACGTTATAACATGGAAGATTAGTAATTTAATTAAAGAGGTTCCTTGGGTAAAAAAATAGCAAAATTTATAGAAGTCCGGATTTATTACAGTTAAAGATATTAACATAATGCTTTAGTTCAGTACCAATTATACGTATTTGCTATCTAAAAATTAATAAAATTATAAACAAGTTTCTAAAAAAGAACCATACATGTTTAAGAAACAATTAATTTTCATATTGATACGTCTAGTGCATATTAATGAATTTTTTAGCTGAGTTACACATATGCACCACTCTCTATCACGTGACTGCAAAATATTTATGAAAGATCTAATTATCTGATAATGTCATGTGATATGAATAATCGATTAGTTGGCAACTTAGTTGGCAACTAGTTGATTAGCAAAATTTTTACCAACTAGGAACACTAATTGGAAGTCCACAAGATGTTAACTTAATAAAAACTTTACATGTTAGGAATGTTGATTTTTCTATGTTATATGTAATTTATATCAAGTATTATGTACAGTCAGACCTCTCTAAATGCATAGTCTCTCTAAATGCATGGCCTTGTTTTGGCCCCAGCTCATGTGACAAATAGATTTTTACCTCCCTAAATGCAATACCTCTTTAATTGCAAGATTTTTTGCCGCCCACGGCTATGCATTTAGAGAGGTCTGTATTTTATTAATACAAATTTTCCTTTAGTGAATTGTCAATTAAGTACAAATACGTAACTGATTTTTGGGCGATGCTAGGTTCGTCGTATAATCATTTAGTTATTATACAAAATGTATGTTTAATGAACGGTAATAAAAATAGCTAAAGTTATAACATATAACTTCTTGAAAGTACTTAGTTTTCCAATCGATTATGCTTTTTATTTTTTATTTTTTTTTATTACAATTTTAATCTAATTTAATGCTTAGACATACTATAGAAGCACTCTGAAAACTTAATCGTGCTTTGAAAATGTCATCAAGGAAATCGTACCTTAAAAATATACACTTCCTAAATTTGTATTTGGGGGGATAATCCCTTGGAAATCTTGAATTCTGAGGCTTGCACCTTCAAAGTTTACATCCTCGAGATAAGAATTATAAAAATTTGCACCTTTAAGATTTGAATGCCGAAGGTTTGCGCCGGTAAGATCTGCATCCTTGAGATTCGCATTTTGAAGATTCACATTTTGAAGGGATGCTTCATTGAGATTTGCATTTTGAAGCTTTGCATTTTGAAGTGATGAACCTTCGATATTCGCATTTTGAAGGTTTGCATTTTGAAAATTCACATTATTAAGAGATGCGCCTTCGATATTCGCATTTTGAAGGTTTGCATTTTGAAAATTCGTATTATTAAGAGATGCGCCTTTGATATTCGCATTTTGAAGGTTTGCATTTTGAAAATTCACATTATTTAAGTCAGCCCTTACAAGTTGTGAATTGTTAAAAACTCCATTGCTTAAATTCGCCCCTGGAATACGGATATTGTTTAAATTTTTCGGAAGTAGTATTCTGGCATGTGATAGAACTGTAATGGCATTAGCAGAAGCAGTTTGAATGTCTGTATTCATTTTAGAACATTCAATATAATTTAACAGTGGTTGTATGAGCTCTGGCATTTGCTCTTGCATTTGTTGGACTCGCTCGACCAAAAATTGTTGAATTGCAGGTTCTGGTGTAATCAATTGCTTATTGAAGAGAGATGCTTGCGACGCATCTTTAAATGAATCTAACAATATACTAGCTATTAAGTAATCTCGTAATGATTTATGGAAAAACCAATACTGATTTCCACGTCGAATTAATGGCATGCTGAAACGAATCAAATTATATTTTTCATCTGTATTTCCTAAAAATGTCGCCCAGTCAGATGTGTTCTCATTTACTGGATCATAGTTTACAACTACTATGTTATTGTCCACAAACATCTTGAAAGCAAATTCTTTACCAAATTTTAGACAATAATTAATAAAACCTTCCTTATTTAAACGTTCAAACTCTTCTCGTTCTTTAGGTTTTAATTGAATATTTTGCAAGCGTTCTTGAGCACGTTCAAACCATTTCTTAATAAATTCATCATACAAAACTATACGATTTATCTGTGATGTTGTTTCTCTGTCTTTGAGAAGGCCTGGTAAAACAGTCAAAGTAATTTTTAAAAGAATGGGATTACACACAAGATCTTCTATTTCCTGTATACTCTTCATGCTTTGTATATATTTGTCTGCGTCCCATGGTAATGGACTACCATTCTTCTTGGAATAACTAACATAATTTTTGATATATTGTTCTATTTCAGCCCACAAAAATGGTGTAAGTGTCAGTTTTTGAAACCCTCTCGTTCTGTTTTCTTTAGGCCAAAACATTTCTTCATAGCCTTGATTTAAGTACTCTGGCCGACAACTAATGATAATTTTCGCATTTTCCCACTTTGAGAACATATTGCTATCGTAGCATTGACGTTCACGTTCAGCAATCTCATCATAACCATCTAAAATAAATACAAACTTCCTTTTCCGTAATTCATTAATTTGTTCTGTGGATAGATTGCCCTTTTGCTGTAAATAGACTTCAATAAAATCTTTATTTTGATTTATAAACTTTTCTAGTGGTGCTAATGCGATAAATAAAGGAATGGGCTGCGTCATGTCATTTTTGACATTATCCCATAGAAGACGAGCAAGATGTCGGTTAAACGTCGATTTACCCGTGCCTCCGCTTCCTAAAATCAATAACACCTTTTTCCGCTTCAGAGTTAGGAGGCTATTTACTGCTGTTTCCAAAACATCTTTAGCCTTTAAGTTCAAAAGTTCTTTGCCAGTTTTTTCAAAGTCTTCCTTATTTATTGAGGCTTTTTTCAAAGCTTTCACATCCTCTATAGTTATTTGATTTCCTAAAGCTAGTTTACTCTCTGTGAATAGTACATTCTCCAAGGATAATTTATTCTCCAAAACAAGTGGGCTTTCTAAAAAATTACAAATTGCATTTTTTAATACACTTTCATTTTTTGATGATTCTAAGAATCCATTTATTGCCATCTCCAGAAGCCTCAAAGCTTTCTTATCCTTTAAAGCTAAAAATTGATTAATTGCTACATCCAAGGCATCTATATCCTCTAAAGTTAATTTATTCTCCGGATTAAAAAAACTATTTACTTTATTAATTAGCAATTCTTTTTTTTGTGAAATCAAAAAATCATTGGCTGCTGCCTCCAGAATCTGCTTATCATTTGAAGTGAGTTTATCCTTTGAACTCAAAAAATTAATAACTATTTTTTCCACATCACCATCTCTTTTTTCATTATCCATTACATATATTTCTTTATTATCTAATGTCTTGATAATTGGCACACTCCATGTTCCTTGCGGTTTGACGTATAGTTCTAAGGCTTCTTTAAATTCATGAGTTTCATTCAGGTTTTCTAATTCACCTATTTGGGATAACATATCTCCTCGACTTTCTTCCATGTCAGTCTGTTGCTCTCCCTTTAAATGTTCTATACCTTTTTCGATCAGCTTTTCGCGGTCAATAAGTTGGTTTAATTTATTGAGAATTTTGTTTATTTCTGGACGATTATCAGGGGTGTTATCCCAGCATTCTTTGTAAAGATGAATATACTCGGATGGTGAACCTTCTATTGGCTCCTCTCTCTTTCCTCTGACACATATATATAAACAGAGGAATGTTTCATTTTTAGTTAATCTAATGTTCTGAAATGGTGGTATTCCGCTTGAAATTTCCCAAAGGATTACGCCAAAACTATAAACGTCAGATCTCTTATCATTTTTATTGTTGCCAACGATAATGCATTGAGGATCAGTGTATTCCAACACCCCAATAAGCTTTGAATTTGAAGTCACGGACGCCTCATTTATCAGCTTTGATAGTCCAAAATCTGCAATTTTTGGTTTTCCTTGATGAATTAAAATATTCTTCGAATGCTAAATTAGTAGAGTATTAGTGAATTATAAATATAAAAATCCGGTAAAAGCTATAATACTTACAAGGTCTCTATGAATAATACTTTTATTATGTAAGAACGAAAGTCCGCATGCTAATCCATTAGCAATATCTAGTTTATCTGACCATCGTAGTTTTTTTAAAATTTTCGTTTAGGTAGTCTTGTAAAGTTCCGTTATCAGCATATTGTAAAACCATATAATAATATTTATTGATATCTGTAGATTCTCATTAGATAACATTTCAATTAAATGTCTATTATTTAATACTCAGAAATTATAAGAATGTATACCTTTCGTGACTCCATAGAATTTAATAATGTTTAGGTCCTCACCACTTTGTAATAATTTGAATATTTTAAACTAATTATATGAATATAAATTTGATATATTATTTATTGGTCTGTAATAGAATATAAATTAAAGTATCGATTTAACAAATAATACCTCGTTAATAAAACTCTCAATTTTTTCATCTGAATTTAAATCGATCTTTTCATCTGAATTTAAATCGATTTTTTGATCTGAATTTAAATCGAATTTAAAACATTTAAGAACAACTTCCAAGTTAAGGCCTTTTAATTCGTACTTAAAAATATCTCCAAAACCTCCAGAGCCAATCTTTGTACGGTCTGTAAATTTATTATAATCAAAACGATTAATATTTTCATCTAAAATAGCTTCGAACCGTTCTTGTAGTTTTTCTGTCATATTTGACTAACAATTATTTTGTGCTACGTATATGTACGGTACGTTGGGATGTTAAATGCACTGTGAATCAATTTATGTATAGTCTCATAGTAAAAATAACTAGTGAATTTTTCGTGTAACGAAAACGATTATTTATATTAGAAAAACCAAATTTATATGTTTTTAAAAAAAGCGCTCTTTTAGTCTTAAATATAGGGTCTGCTGAGCAAATGAGTGAAATTTTTATGAAAATTAATTTGCAAATTATTGAGGAGATACAATTTGAAATTTGATAATCGTTTCAAATAAGGTTTTTAAACTTCAAATTGCATTTTTGTTCAATTGCTCATCAGAACCTATATTTTAAACTAAAAGAGTTTTTTAAAAAAAAAATTTTTACTAAATTTTTATTAAAATTTATTAAATAACCTATTTGTCGCGGGCGGTGATGGCATCCGGATTTTATTTATGATTGTATTTAGGATTAGAAAGTTCATATAATGTAGTAAAATTATGCAAGGATTATTATTTCTTAAGTCATCGAAGTTGATTTCATAGACATAATTTTGATTTAAAAATTAAGACTTTTGTAACTGCCGGCGACAAATAGATTCGCCCATATTTTTACGTATTGGGATGCCGTGAACGAAGTCACGAGGCATCCATTTGTCACGAGACCGTGACCCGGGTCCATGATGTAGGTTATTGTGTGGTTATGATGTAATTGGGACGATTGTTATGAGAGGTATGTAAGGATGATGTATTGTATGAGAATTGTTGAGTAAGTAGTGGTCATAACGTATGTTGTTTAAGTAAGGAAGGTATGGGAAATTGTTTTCCCTCTTTTGTCTTTGCTGCTAGCTCAACGTAAAGTTTGGCTTTTTGTTTAGTTCCCACCCACCCACCTCTGGGGCTTGAGCTTTGGGTCTGGCTAGGTAGCCTGGGTAGATGGCCCGAGTATATGAGGGTTTTTATTTTGACAACCCGGATAGTCGATCTGGTTATCTTTAAGGAGTTTTAGATACGATACTAAGAACCGGCTGTGGATCACGTGAGCAGCGGGCGGAAATCCCATATGTGTATTACATGTAGGGATGCGAGCTATACCTATACCGTATTATACTATTGGTACAATACCAGTATTATACACATAAGTATAGGTGTAATACCAATAATAGAAATGGGTTAGCCAATTAAATTGCTTTTATCTGCAATTCCGAAAGTTTCCCTAAGAAAAATTCGAAAATTCAAAATCATATTAAGCTGAGAGTAAAATGGTGGTTGTACCATGCTATACCGTATTATATGATATTATACTTGGGTATTATACTACAATTTCTATTATACTAGTATAACCACATCCCTAATTACATGGACATGTTAGGTCAGGTGACAAATAACAGTGCAATGACAAAGTAATTTATCGCGATCGTTACACAAAATTGTCTATTCAAACATTTATACGGGACTATACATAACTTGATTTACATAGTGCATTTAACACCCCAACGATACGTACTGTACGTACGTACGTACATGCTAATATTTTGCCCGCTTTCCATATTTGGGGTTGCTTAAAGCCAGGTACACACGAAATTGCCCGAGTATCGATGATCATCGGATAGGTACTGTACGTACTTGTTACGTTTATTTTGTTCACAAGGTGAACAGAATTGATGCATGAAAATGGTTGGGTACTCCTGTACTCACGTACATACCGTTGGGTGTTAAACGTACTATTTAAATCAAGTTTATGTATAGTCCTGTATGAATGTTTGAATGGACAATTTTTGTTTAACGATCACGATTATTTATAGTAAACTACTTGGGCGAATCTATTTGTCGCCGGCAGTTACAAAAATCTCAAAATTTTTAAATCAAAAAAAATAACTCAAAATTATGTCTACGAAACTAACTTTCATAACTTAAGAAAAAATACTCGCATAATTTTACTACATGCTATGAACTTTCTAATCCTAAATACAATTATAAATAAAATCCGGATGCCATCACCACCCGCGACAAATGGGTTATTTCAATAAATTTAAATAAAAATTTAGTAAAAAATTTAGGTTTTCTGAGCAATTGAGCAAAATTTTTAAAATAGTTAATATGTGATTTACAGAGGAGATGAAATTTGAAGTTTAAAAATCTTATATGAAACGATTATAAAAAATTACCAAATTTCAAATTGTATTTTCTCAATACTTTGCAAATTAATTTTCAAAAAAATTTTACTCGATTGCTCAGCAGACTCTATATTTAAGACTAAAATTTGTCGAAATTTAGGTTTTTTAATATAAATCAACGATTTCGTTACATAAAAAAAATTTATTAGTTATGATTTACATAGGGGGCATCCATAAAAACCAGGACTGCATTGTATAGAAATTATAGTTGCCGTCCAAATAGTTATTACTATTGGCTAAATTGATTATATCTAAAATTTTGACCCAAATCCCAATTTACACAGTAAGTTTGGGACAAGTTCCATGGGTTTAACTAGTCCCAAATAATGGTTAATACCCTAGAAAGTCCCAAAGTCCCAAACTAGTTAGGTTTGGACGGCAACTATAATAGAAATAAAGACCTTGAAGATCCATATAATATTTTTGTATTACGTACGTACGTACGTATCTAAGATCTCCGGTTTAACGTAAATTATGGATGCCCCATAGTGCATTTAACACGTACCGTACCTGGTTTTAAGTGACTCCCTATTCGTTGAGAGTGGTGTAACCATAGTTTCCGAAAAATATAACTACTACTGTATCGCTATGTTTGTAGGCTGAAAAACTGTGCAGGTATAATAATAATTTAGGGCATTGTATAACAACTGTAAATAAAAAAAAAATAGTACCGGTAAATTGTTACGTATACGTATCCATTTTTTTTTTATTTTTTGATAACCAAAAATGTCAAACGAAAATTTGACCGAATTAATCGATCGTTTCAACAAACTAAATTTCTCTGATAGTCAAAAATTAGCAGATACGAACGATCCAGACGGAATTTACAAGCTCGGTTATTGTTACGAATATGGAATTGGAGTTAAAAAGGATGAAAACAAAGCATTCAAGCATTATCAAAAATCCGAAGTAATGAATAATTCTAACGGAATGTATCAAGTTGGTCATTGTTATTATTTAGGAATTGGCGTCGAAATTGATAAGCAAAAAGCATTTTCGTATTATCTGAAGTCTGCTGAGGCAGGTAATGCTATGGGGATTTTTAAAACTGCCATATGCTATAGATATGGGATTGGCGTGGAAAAGAACAATGATAAATTTTGGGAATGGATTAAAAAGTAAGCTAATTTTAACTTTTATCATAATGGTCGTAATGTTTTATTTTAATAATTAGGAAACATTATACAATTTATGATAACTATTAGTGAGTAAGCATGAAAAGCATTTGTTAATTTATATATAAGCAATTACGTACATGCTTATAAAATATATATTATTTGTGTTAATTAGTCCGTGAGTATAAAATTATTACCATATTGCTCCAAAATTAAGTACCACTTTTTGTTATATAAAAATATAAGCACTCATTTTTTTATATCGCTTTTCCTCTGCTTTTAAATCTATAGTAGAGTGCCGATTTAAGAGATTTATCATTGTACAAACAATGAAAATTTCCATAGAACTTAACGGCACTCTAATCTATAGAGATGACAAAAATTTACTATCATGTTCTTGCATTTTATATTTGTGATATAAATTACATCACATTATAAAGTTTAATTTCAAAAAAAAGGGTGCTTAATTTTGGAATGGAACTTCATTAATATTTAAATTAAAATCAATAAAACA